CAGGGAAATGGTTGCCGCTGATGGTGAGAAGAAGAAAAGGGGCAGAAACAACCCCAAGGATTCTCACCCCGCTATCTCCGTTCCGGGGTATGAGTGGATTAGAGGGGATGTCGGGGAGTTTGAAAGTGGGTTTAGGTTGTTCCTCGATGTGAATGCGATGTGGAAATCGCTGATGATATGTAAGTCAGCCATTTCCAAGCTTATCTAGGTTGAGCCCTTCCAGCCCGATGAGCGCGTATATATGGCGGGTACTCTGAGTACCCCCTTCTTCTATATGTATCAGTGCTTTTTTAGGGATCTTGGTGTTTATTTACCATTCACTGAGTTCGAGTGTGCTTTTCTCAAGTTTGTCAAGTGGCTCCCTGCCAATTGCACCCCAATAGTTAGGGTTTTTTAAGGGCCTTTCAAGTTTTGTACGCTCGGCCCTAGGAATGGGTGTGTCCTTCCCCATTTTTTTTACATTTTTATTAACTCAATTTGGGCGAGCCTCCCCTGGGTTGGGTGTCCCTTAGTGGGAGTAAGGCTGGAGGCTTATTCCAACTTTATTCTCAGTCATATAAGAACTTTAAGAAAGAGTTTTTTCGAATCTGACCTGTCGAGGCCGACCCGCGGGTCGACGAAGTTTTTCACAATGAGGGGGAGTTGAGTTTTCCTTTCTTTTGGCAGCAAAATTCGATCAAGTTTAATGGGTCGAGCTGCCTTGAATTGTAGGATTCCGATAATGCTACCATCGCCAATTTGGACGAACTTCCGCACCCATTGGACAGTAAGCTCGTCTTTTCTCTTGCTAACTTGGCGAATAAGGAGAGGGGTTTGGAGAGTGAGTACCTCATCATTTTGCTTATTAGATTCTGTCTGCCTTTATTCACTTTTTGATGTGTTGTGCCATTTGTGTTTCTAGGTCTGATGGGAAAAGTAAGTGGCGTGATCTAAAAGCACGCTTCAATACAGAGGAGCTCGACGTGCCTGAGCCCGCCGAGGAGGAGGTTTCTCCTTTGGAGACTCGCAGCAAAAGGAAGAGGGCAGAGAAAGGGGTCGACGAGACCTCATCTCCTCTTGTTCTTGAGGAAGTGACATCGAGGGCTGCCGACGCCGCTACTATCGATCTGACTGGGAGTCCTCAGGCCGAAGGGTCACCGAGGGGGCCCATGGTAGAGGTCGTTCTGGAGAAACAAGTTTTTACTTTGTCCTTGTGGTGTTCCTTTTGCTTTGTGTGTTATTCTGCTTTGTAACTTAGAAACTTATTTTGGTTTTCTTGTAGGTGGTTTCAATGCCTTTTTCTGCCGAGGTTTGCAGGGAAGGTCCAAGTTCTGAGGTGTCGACATTAGTTCCTCTCGCTGCTGCTTCTCCTCCTCCAGGTTCTTCCACCGCTCCGAGATCAAAGTGCATTATTCAGCGCTTCGATGTTAGTCGTCCCTTGTGAGGTTGGATCACGTGAGTGTGTCGCCAGACGTGACATTGCTGTGGAGTTCAAACTTAACCGTTGAAGGATTTTACAAGGAGGATCCAGCCCTCGTTGCTGACAAGGCGATGATAGAGAAGGTCGGCCCGGTGGAGGGCCTAGATTCTGCTGAGGTATTTATGCAGAGGTCCATTGCCATAGTGGACCATTGGAGGCGCAAGTGGCCAAGGCTTTAGGGCGAGCTCGAGAAGGCAAAAAGGAGTGAAGCCGAGCTTCAAGCCTTGAGGAGAGAGTTTTCAAAGACTCAGAAGTCTTTGGAAGTTGCTTTGAAGGCCAACGAGGCGTATGCCACCCAGGTTGGTGACTTGCAAGAGGTCGCCAAGTCTTGTAGGGGTGAGGCAGAAGCTATGCAAAGCCGGGTTCAAACGTTGGAGGAAGAGAACTTGGCGTTGAAGGCTGATCTGGGGGAGGCTACTGAGAAGCGTCTTTGCGACGAGGTGCTTCTTGTTGGTAGGGAGGAATAGATTGGCTCACTGAAGATGGAGTTTGATGTGCTGGCCTCCTTAAAACGAGATTTGGAGAAGAGGCTCCTCGAGACTGAGCATGCCGTTGTGGTGGAGCACCGGCGGGGTTTCTCCAAGGCAGTTCGTCAAGCTAGGCTACTTACGGGAGAGGTGGATCTTTCTGCCATGCACATTGAGAAAGATGTGCAGGGTGGGAAGTTAGTTAATGAGGATGACCTGTCCGAGAGTGCTAGCGAGGATACTGCTACTTAAACCTTTATTTTTCCTACATGCTTTTTGTTGTAATAGACTTAGCTTATTTTGTTTGCTTTTTGGTGTTTATGTTGGACTCATTTCCTTTTGAATGAATTTGCTATATATATTGCTCTTTTCGATGTTGCTTGAAAGTGAATTTTTGATTTAAACTTTTGAGGTTCAAACTTGACCTTTAACTTTCGAGTTAGGGCTCGGGCTTGGCCTTAAGGTTCAAACTTGACCATTAGTATATGATTTGCGCAAAGGTTCGAATTCGACCTTGATTTAATATGAATCGTGTCAAGGTTCGAATTCGACCTTGGCTTAATATAAATCATGCCAAGGTTCGAATTCAACCTTGGCTTAATATAAATCGTGCCAAGGTTCAAATTCGACCTTAGCCTAATATAAATCATGCCAAGGTTCGAATTCGACCTTTACTTAATATAAATTGTGCCAAGGTTCGAATTCGACCTTGACTGAATATAAATCATGCCAAGGTTCGAATTCGACCTTGACTTAATATAAATCGTGCCAAGGTTCAAATTCGACCTTGGCTTTAATATAAATCGTGCCAAGGTTCGAATTCGACCTTAACTGAATATAAATCGTGCCAAGGTTCGAATTCGACCTTGGCTTAATATAAATCGTGCCAAGGTTCAAATTCGACCTTGGATTTAATATAAATCGTGTCAAGGTTCGAATTCAACCTTGACTGAATATAAATCGTGCCAAGGTTCGAATTCAACCTTGACTTAATATAAATCGTGCCAAGGTTCGAATTCGACCTTAGCTTTAACATAAATCGTGCCAAGGTTTGAATTCGACCTTGACTGAATATAAATCGTGCCAAGGTTTGAATTCGACCTTGACTTAATATAGGCTAGACGGTGTGAGATTTAAATATATATATATATATATATATCAATCAAGAATTATGTGATTTTTTAAAATCAAGAAAAAAAATTCACGAGTTAATCATAAAATTAAGTTATTCCAAGTATAACTTTTAACATAGCTACTTCTTCCTGTGCATCTCTATGTAAAAGCCGATGAATATGAAATCATCAAATATTTTGATCTTAACTTTTTTCTTTTTATTGCAATTTTGATCTTAACTTAATAATCATACAAAGTAAATTTTAAATAAATCAATTTTTTTATATTGTTAATATTTACTTATATGTTGAAAAAGTATATTATATTCTAAATTAAATTTATTTAATAAAAGATCAAATAATTTAAAATTTTATAAAAATTTGTATACTTATCTAATCAAATAATTTTTTTTAATGAAGTAACTCTTAAAAAAATACTCTTATAATAACTCTATTCATCCACTCACATATTTGATTACAAAAGTCAATGACTATTATTTTTAAAAAATTAAATTAAATTATTAAAAATAAAAATTATTAAATAAATATATAATCATATTACCAAAAGTTGTTAGTTTGAATAATTGTGAACTTAATCTTCTTAATTAAGATTTCAAATTTAAATTATATATATATAAAAAAATATTGTTAGAAACGAAGAGAATATCTTACTAAAGATGCTTAATTACATTTTTCTTAAAATTATTTATTGTCAAAATCTATAGATATTTTATGTCAATAACATGATTAAAAAATTATGTAATTTTATTCTTATTATTTTTACTAGTAAAAATGGTATTTTATGTCTCTTAATTTTTAATTTAAAAAAAAATTAAAGAAAGACAATTTAAAAGTGATTGTGAGTGATTATTTCCAAAATATCATAGATAAAACTTATAATCAAATATTAAAAGTGAAGAAGAAAAGTCATACACCATTTTATAGTTATGTATCTCTTTTATAGTTTGTATTGATAAAGATTTTATATGTATATATAAAATTTATCATTGTTGTGAAATTTAAGTTTTATATTAATATTAATTTTAATCGGAATTTAAGTTCTGATAAGAGTGTGTAGGAGTAATAGTAATGAGTATCCTGAAGAAAGTTGGGGGCGAAAGAGTCTCTTTTCCTAGCCAGTGAGGAAAAATGGAGTGGTGCGAGTCAATGCCAAAGATAGAACTGCATGCTCATCTCAATGGATCCATCAGAGACTCTACACTGCTGTAAGTCAACTTCTTTCCTTTTATTTTAACCAAACCAACATTCTTATTTTTTCTATTTTTCTTCCACAGAGAACTCGCCAGAGCTTTGGGTGACAAGGGTGTCATAGATTTCTCCCAAGTGGAACACGTTATCCTTAAAAGTATGTCCCTTTTCTCTTTATCCTTCTTGTGCTTCATATTATTAGTACGTTTGGAATTCACTTTGCCTTTTGTTGCGTTGCGATTTCGTTTGCAAAAATGGGCATGAAATTCATGATAATAAAGGGGAAAGAGAATACGACAATGAAAAAATAAATAAATCAAAGGGATAGAACCATCTTTCTTTTCGAGTTTGCTTTTAGGAAAATACGTGACATGATTACTTAGCTGTTTGTTTGCTTGTTAAAAAAAAAAA